CGCCTTCTTTATTGAAAGCAGTCCTCCCCGCTCTGCTCTTCCTTTTCCCCTCTCTCCTAAGAGGAAGAAACAGCGGAGCAGCAGGGCTCTAACACCGAGCTCGAGTGAACTAATGCCGGTGCAGCTCACGCGTGCTTCATTCTCTCCCCAACACCTCGATTCACCTGTGTGCTTCACACGTGAGGATCAGCGCCACTCATCGGCTGCGAGCAGCTTGATTTCCTTCGGTGCATCTGAGGAAGAAGCTGTCGTTGATGACTCTATGTCATTGACGGCTTCAGATGCTGAAGAGTGGGCATGTTCCAGCAAAGAGCCCGAAACCCCGCCTCTGACGCAGACAACATGGCCCTGCGTGTACAGCGAGCTGATCCGCGTTCTAACTAAGGCTGTGGAGGATCTCAGCCTGGCTTGGTCAGCTCCGGAGGAGCCCTCCCGCAGCCTCCTTAACGAGTGGTACCTGAAGGGACGTCGTCAACATTCCTCCCGCCAACGGCCCACCCCGTTCCTGCTGGCAGTTCACGAGGAACTCACCAGGACGTGGCGCGCCCTCTACTTGGCACGTGTTAATCCCTCTACTTCCACCGCTTTCACCTTTTTTCTCCATTTCTATCACCGATGGAGTTTTGGTTCCTTGCCACTGTCAGCTTTGGCTTGCTTAGTTGGGGACGGTTTACTGATTGCACAGACACTATTGGAAGAGAGCTGAACTGGATGATGACATCACTGAATCATCAATGAACTGACTTTAGCTGGAAAAATGACTCATTGTTATTGTCCTCTTGCATTGACAAACTATTTTCCTGTTTGACACTGTAAAGCTGCATTGACACAATCAGTATTGTATAAAGGTGACTTGACTTGACACTGTTGACAGCACTGAAGAAAGAGGTTACAGCAAGCTCCCCCCTCTGGAAGAGGCAGTGTCTGCGCACCTGTGCCCTCCATCGTTCCTGGGGTTAAAAGCCTATGAAGAGCACCCATCGAAGCCCTGCAGGACTACCTCAACCCTAGCAAACGGCCTATAGAGCGGCTGGCCAGGCTGGCTCAGCTCTTCACACGATGGCGGTGCTTCAAGTGTTCCAGGCCAAACTTCTCCGCACCATGGACGAATCCGGACAGAGTTCTGATGTCTTTAGGGAGCTGCGCACAGCAACTGACCTGGCTCTGTGCGCTGCTAAGGCCACCGCGCAGGCCATCGGCAAAGCCATGGCCAATTTGGTGGTGCTGGAGCGCCACCTGTGGCTAAATCTAACAGCGATCAGGGATGCAGACAAGGTCATCTTCCTAGACTCGACCGTCTCTCCTAAGGGACTGTTTGGCCCTGCCGTGGATGGGTTTGACAAGTGGTTTACAGTGGTACAAAAGACACGGCTCTTTCCCCTCTGAGACAGATAGGAATCCGCATTCTGAACTACCTCGACAATTAGCGATTCTGCCCGGATGCGTGCCTGGATTATGCCGGAAGCCCCACAGGGATTTCCAGAAGATGCTTGGCCTTATGTCAGCCGCTTCCTCTGGGCCTGCTTCACATTCGGCCCCTCCAGTACTGTCTCAAAGCCCATGTCCCTTCCCACGCTTGGCACCAGGGATGCTCTCATCTCGGGGTAACCCACCGCTGGATCAGAGCTATGGCCCCTTGGAAAACCGCTTGCCTGTTTCAATCAGGCGTCCCACTTGGACTGATCTCCAAAAGGAAGGTGGTCACAACAGATGCCTCCAACTCGGGTTGGAGAGCTCTGTACGAGGGAAGACCGGCGTTCGGCTCCTGTTCAGACCTGGAGCAATGCTAAGCCATCAACTGCCTCTCGATTGGCCCCCTCATTGTGCACTTGCGGTCTTACAATGGCTGCCACGTGCGCATGTCCGTTAAGTCCACGAGACCGTAGGGTGTCCCATTAGTCATTTTAGCTTTTAGAAGGGTGCTCACGAGGGCCCCTTTTGCGCCCTCGATGCACACTTCTGCCGAGCCCACACTGAGGCGAGCTCCGCAGCAGACTTTTACCCACAGTCAAAGCAGCATTACGTCACGAAAGTGTGGACTCAGAGGAAGACCGCAAGGGTTTAGGGTGCGATTTGGGAAAGGGCCAGAGCCTCCACATGCACCCTCCGATGACGTTTTTATGTCACGCTGACCCTAGCGGACCCTTGCACACTCGCACATGCAGAAAGTATAACATTAGCTTTACACTAGCTTTACTCGTACTTCAAAAAATGTATCTGCCACAGGAGTCACTTGGGTGAGATAAACGTGTTTTTCTGTTCTGTCAGGGAAAGAAGAAGTGGAATTAGCTCAACTCAAACATAAGCAATTACATCATTTACATATACTTATACCTTATGTTTATTACCTCGCTGATCATACCAATGTAGCACATTTAGTAGCATGTTTTTGGAAATTTAGCACCTTGGCATTTTTGGAAGTTCCTCGAAGAATCAGTACTCTTCTGCCTAGTTGCTTCTCAGTTGTTTATTATCTGCTATAAAGACACACTATGTACCAAAAGAGTTCCTAAACAGCATTATTTGAGAATCATTTCCTGAATTAGGATCATATTTAAGCACTTTAAAGTTTCATTAATTCATTAAAGGGGTTATATGATGCGATTTCAATTTTTCCTTTCTCTTTGGAGTGTTACAAGCTCTTGGTGCATAAAGAAGATCTGTAAAGTTGCAAAGACTAAAGTCTCAAATCCGAAGAGATATTCTTTATAAAAGTTAAGAGTCAACCACACCTACCTAAAACGGCTCGTTCTAACACGCCCCCACATGTCTACGTCACGATGTGGGAAGATTTGCATAACGCCGCCCAAATGTTCACGCAAAGAAAGAAGGCGTAACTTTTATTCTCGCTGTAGTATTGTTGCTGCCGCCATGTCGTGAAGATGCTGTGTTTCGTTGTGAAAGCGAAACTACTTTGTTTGGCCTTCCAAAAGAGGACGATATCCGCTTCGTCATGCCTAGAGCTGATCCGTGCTGGTCGCTGAGAAAATACATCAACTTCGCGCTGTGGATCGCCAGATCGGCTTTCACCGTGGACGAAGCGGAGTCCAGCCCGGGGTCGTCACATGTGGTTGCCGCAAGCCCGCCGGACGCTCCTTCGTCGAATCCGCAGGCCTCCGCTCATTCAAGGCCGCG